TAAAAAAACAAACATTTAAAATAGCGCAAATTAATCTAGACAGAATTTAATTAGCTCAATGACTAATTTAAAACATTAAATCCATCATTTTTCTTCAATCAAATCTGTAATTTGGCCTCCAAAATTTAACGTGACGTATTGATTGACGTACGACGTATTGGTTAATTAAAAATTAGACATTTCATTCGTCAGCTTTGTGTTTCACATCCGCGTCACAAGAGAAGATCTCGATGTTACACTGTCGACCATGCGATTGAGCGCTAAAATCGCCAAATTGAAACCGATAAAATCGATACGGCACATTCAGCCGCAGACGGAGCTGATCGTGCAACGGCTGCGAGAAGAAGTGAATGCACTGAAGAAGGAACTAGAGTTGAATGATATGTTTTTACATCAGGAATCACTGATGAACATCTCAAAATTGAGGGCCGAACAGATCAATCGAGATATTATGAATTTTTTGAAGGGTTCCATTTCAGAATTAACGCTCTTTAACGTCACCCAGGCACGACTGTTGATGAAGGTCGCCAAAGAATTATTCGACAAGTTCGTTTTCTTAATATTTTTTTCTTATTTTTTAAATTCAAACCTATATATCTTAATTATTTGACAATGACGACTTTTCACTTGATAATTAAAAAACGACGAGAAACTGCAAATTTCTTGCTATTATTCTGTATGTTTTTAACCTGTTTCTAATATAATTTTTATTATTGTACTTTTCGTAATTAATATCGACAATAGAAAGAATCTATGTAATGATTGTGAATGATAAAAGTTTTAATTGTTTTTTAAATATTCCAGATTAATTGCGAAAGAGGTTGAAACGGAGCAGTTAAAGGAAGCGTATGAAAATATGATGAATGCATTGACGAAAGTAAACGATACTTTACCCGCATAGTTGTTTTAATAGCACTTTAACTATGTCACAATATACCTATATATTTGTTATCGATTTTGCGCGTACAGCTTACGATTCTTATATTTATACTTTATATTAACACTCTCTTTATCTCTTTTCTCATGCTGACGCAAACAAAATCATCGGTCAAATAAAGTAAATCATTTGTTTAATATGTATCGAATTATAATTAGATAATTATAATTAGAAAATTTCGAATTATAATTAGAAAATTCCAGCGATTCAAATCCGATTCGAGTTATTGAAAAGAGCTATAAAATGTAAAAAAATGTCAAATAATATCAGCAAAAATAACTTGGGATTTCAAATAAATATAACGTTACATTGGTATCAATTACAAAAACAGATGCGAATGATTATAGCGTCATAATTATTTGACTACAACGTTTGATAATCCCAAAGGCGGATCTCGGAAAATAAAGATCGGCAATTAAACTTACATTTTTCATATACGAGATTCGAAGAAGAGAAAGAGTGAAATCTGTTTTCTCTGGTAGTCTTCTATTACAATTTTCGAGTAGATAAACACAGCTTAAATATAGATAAACATCCGGGTCAGATTTTGCAAACATATTTTGCCGCTGTCTTCTCACGACTATCACGATTCTCTGGTCCCGATTCTTGCAGACAATAAGTATACATTCGCAGATATCGTGTTTTATCAACGACTATTATTTCATCTTCTTCTAAAAGTTTCTTTAGACTCTGAAATATTCGCGATGAATGGAGTGTGCATTTCATGTGACGGGAGTATTGCAAAGGATTTGGTTAATAAATTGCGTAAAGTTTATTCCTATTTGCAAAGGTTTGTGCTATTGCTTGACATTATGAAAATTATGTCTATTATCTAGATTAAATAGATCTTGTTTAAATTCATTTTATAGATAATTTATATAATTTGCGACAGAATTCAATAGCAATATTCTATGTATAAATTAATACGTTGCTATTACTTTGGATTGTTATCGTTTGCATATTAATATAAAAGATTATAAACTGTCAGAATCTAGAACACATCTTTTCTTTTATAAACAAAAAAACAGTTATACGCAATATATATTTAATAATAACTATAATTTACGATTGTTAGAATTTTAAAGGTTTAGCCAAGCATATTTGTATAGGAGAATGATTTCTTATTTTAATTGTAGATTGTAGGATACTGTATTTCTTTTCTTTATTGAAATATATTTTTTTAATAATAAAGAAATTTTTATGAAATAACATACATTTTCATTAGAGAATTTTTGAGAACAATATGCATAATTTTTGACATACTTTGTATAAATAAAAGACCATACATTGGATATTTCCCTTACGATAATATATCTGTTATCCTTTTTATTCAAGTATATTGAAAATGTTAAAGACGGAACAGTTTCGAAGCGATAAAGTTGCAGAACGCATAAGGCTTTATGTGAGTATCGTTATAAATAGGGATATGATAAAAACAATAACATTGCAAATTTTGAAAACACTTGCAAAGATATTTGTAACAATTTCTTGTGAATTTGCATTAGATATCAGAGCCAGATATGACTAATAAAGATTTGTTAAGTGAAAGCAAGATGTATTTAGATTTAACAAACAGTTTAAATGATCTTAATAAAAGCTGCCTTACCATGTTTAATACTATGTTAAAGACCATGGACATTTATTCCAAGGTAAGATATTATATAATAAAATCTAAAATCTTCTTGCAAAAGATAGAAAAGAGTTAAAAAATTAATTATTACTAAAATTATAATTATAAAAAGTAAATTATAAAATTATTTTTTAATCCTTGCGAAGATTATCTTTGAAATCTGTTGATTTTTTCTTTATTTTAAAATTAAATAGAATATAAATTTTGATGTAAATGATTTTTAGACAATTTTAATCCAGGGGGATCTTTGTTTTTAACAAATTTACAATTAAGTATTAATGATTACTATAACACAAAAATATGGACTACAATATTTATTATCTTTTTTATAAGTTAATGTATTCTAAATATATATTATTCTACATCTTCTTGCTCAACTTTCTGAGATTTTATCTGGAAAAGTGAACAACGTAAAACTAATTATAAGTTGACAGTTCAATGGTATCGGCAAAAATATTGTATTATAACTGCCTGTTTTTAGTTACATTTTCAGTTATACTTATATAATATAATATTTTAGTGCTATTTTATAAATAATATATCTTTCTAAGAGAAGTATAATTTATTGGGAGTTTTTTTTATAGAAAGAAATAAACTATTGTACAAAAAAAATCTCTTGAAAAGTTAATAAATTTTGCAACTATTTTATATCGATGCCATCGCGAATTTTGTTTCATTTAAGTTTCTCGGTTAATAATTATATCGTAATGACGACGTTTTATATACATACAGCTAAAAATGATGCTTCGAGATATGAAATCTGATTGGGAGACTTACTGGAGCTTTATAGAGGAGGTTGATATATACGATGATGAGGAGATTATAAACAGCGAAAATGACTCCGATTCAGAATCCGGATTTGATCCGGACATGATCAATATTTTTACGTTGCGCAGTTACTACTTTCATTGTAAGGACAAACTGTCACGTATCGAAATCAATAGCGAACGACTCGAATTGCTAATTGCGCTGATCCATAAACAATTTATCGCGGTTAACAACAATAATTCGCTGTCACATTTCCTACTGTATCGCACCTTTAAGGATTATCACGAGAGGATGAATCGATTTCTACGCAGCATAAAGAAGATTTGAAATCGTGCAATACTTGTCAAGGATCTCTGTCGCGGTGTATTCACTGTGACAAGGTATATTCTTTATTTTGTATTGTTACAAGTTATGTAAATTAAGTGAAATTGCGGCTTAATTTTGTTAGAAAGTTTTATTTACTCGCACGCAATAACCTTGGATTTTGTTATTAACGTTTTTTTAATCAAGTATCTGCCTCGTTTAACTTATACTCTCAGAAAGTTCTCAAACCTAAATATTTTTCTGAAAGAAACTAATATAAAAACCTTTCTCTGAATAAAATATTAAATATGTGCGAGAATATAATATAATTATTTCATTATTCGCAGTTCTAATATGTGCGTATTTGATTTTCATGTTTTTTAGTATCTAAGATATTAGTAACACGTCGCAAAATACACGGATATAAAATGCAAAAAATGAAATGAAAAAAGGGAATAATCAGCGATGACATTTTTCTTCATGCAATAAATTATATAATTTTTTATACAAGAAAAAAAAAATAGAAGACAAGTTTAATCAGTATATAACTGTTGTAAGCGAGAGAGTAATATATATAACATATTTGTTGAATACATAATGTTTTTTAGGATGTAAAAGTGTTTTAAATAATATTTGTGTAATATAAATTTTTTTATAATTTTTTTTTGTAATATACATAATTTTTTTTAAATTTATATAATAGGTATGATAATACATGTTAATTTTTTATCTCTAATATAAATGCTTCCACGTTATTTGTATCAATTTTATTTGTCACATGGATTCTGTCATCGAACCACGTTTATCGAGCAATGTTGAAAAGCAAACCGCGCGTTTTACTTTTCGGGTAAATAAATACTTAAATATAAGTAAATATTTCGGGTCAGTTCAGATGATACACACAAAAGATTATTTTGTCGTTATCACTCTCACGAACGTTTCATACCTGATTTGTATTCTCGTGTTTCGTTCTCGTATCGCGTTTTGTTGGTCATCATTTTGCATTTCTTCAGCTTTTCAACAAACAGGCATACGATGGTTTACGTTTTATGCAAAAAACAAATTGCGGACGACGCGATTGAACAATCGAAACAACTTTCAACTAATCTGCAGTGGTTTGTGTTATCATTTAATATTCATGTTGTTAAAAAGAATGTAGTTGTAAGAATGTAATTGTTTTGAATAAATCTCACGTAAATCTATCTTAAATAAATTATAATTTACATTTATGAAAATATTTTATAGATAAATTGATATATGATAATGAATTATGATTAAATCTGTCAGCTTATCTAGTGCATATTTCCTATAGAATAATATATTTTAACTTTAAAAATGTGTAATTTTGATTTGCAAAATAATTTTAAACAAAAATTGTTTTAATAATAATTATATAATTCAGGTTTTAAAATTTTAAACGTTTATTTAGACGGATTGGTATAATCGAATGAAGCGTAAATAAAATATAATCTTCTCCCTTTCCAATCAAAGGTAGAAATTAAGAACAGTCTAGGACATACATGGATATTTATATTTCGGATCTATAATGAAAGATCTGTAAATGATATTACATAAAGAAAGAAACAGGTTTAATAAATCTGAATTATTTTATGTTAATATTGAAAATATTTTAGAATATATTTTATTAACATTATTTTCTTTATCAAAGCAAAGTATCGAGCATTAAAAAAATTTTATATGATAAATATGTATATATATTACAATTTTTTAATTTCTACATTTGTTCGAATTTTATTAAAGAATCTGTAATGCGCGTGTCTGTCGGCATATTCTGCGCAAATTAAAAATTGTTGAATCTTTTATTGCAATATGCATTATTAATCATCGTTTTATTCAAGCATATTGATACAACTAAACGCGGAAAATGCTCTAAGTGACAGAGCTGTAACAAAGAGAATACATCGCGTAAGTATCGTGACTTGCAAATAACGATATAGCAAATTTAAGCGTCATAAATAGTTAATAACATTTGCTAATATTTGCGATAATTTCTTCTTGTCTGTTAGTTAGAACGCAACAAGCCATTGGACAGCTTCAAATATTTTTTAAGCGAGAGCATAATATGTCTGGGCATGGCAAAGAGATTTTACAAGTGGAATCGAAAAAGCCATACGATATATGGATTGCTAATACGGAATATGGACATTTATACCAATGTGAGTAATTGGAATTGATGTTTGCTTAGAATCTTTGTAAGAGATAAGCACGTTTAAAAAAATATAGGAAATTCCGTGGAATTACAAATTTTTGGATTATATATTTTTAAAAGAAAACAATTGCAACTTTATTCCTCTGGATTTTTTATTCCAATAATTTTCCAATGCTATTTTATTATATCAATAATAAATCATATAGTAAGAGCTAGAAAAGTATTGTAATTCTAATCTGCTGAACTTTGAAAAGAATTATCATACAAATATATACTAATTTATTTATACTAATGTTTTATATACTATATTTATGTAATATATTTATACTAATATATGATATTAATGTATAATTATTATACAATTCTCTTGAAAAGTTACAGTTTCTCAAATGCTTTTTATTTGATACTGTGAAATTTTTATTCTGTTCCTCAAATTCGCTACGAAAATAATAATGGAATGTCGACATTTTATCTCGTATACAGCTGAAAAACAAGTTAAACGAAATACTGTATAACCAAAATCAACTTTTTAAGAGACGAAATATTTATGATAGCAATTTCCTCATAATTACCACGGACGATATGATTTTTGAGAACGGCGTAGTCGTAAATATGGATATAAATGACATATTGGAGTTTGAAGAAGATGAGTTAATTGATTTTTACACTTGGGTTAATAAGATACCCGATCGCATAGGTTGGATGATAGCAATGGAAGCTATGATTGACCAGATCCAAGCAGCATTTTTCGAGATATGTTCTTCATTGTATCGAATGTTAAACGAGTATTGCAAGAGATTAAGACAGTATCTGTGCAGCAACAAGGACAAGCTGAAATCGAGCAAATTTTATTCAGAAAATTCGGTACAATATAGGTACCGCTATATGTGTTGCAAATATCATTTCCTAAAGCGATTGCTGGAGCTAGTTGGTGAGGTATGCGCTTTGTTTAATTTATTTTTAATAAGCTCCTAAAAATAACGACACGATCAACGCGGAAATATCTAAATAAAATATCCTGAGTGTGACTCTAAAATATTATTCTTTGTTGTATCTATTTTTATCTTAATACACGTATATTTGATTTTATTTAGGAAGAAAAATACATCGAAAAATATAATGCTACGTGTAAGGAAAATAGATGAACAACTCATGATGACATATTTCTCATATGACAATTTGTACGATATTTTGTAAAAAATGGAAGAATATGTAAACTTAACTAACTTTCTGTTAGTGTATACTTTTTATAAGTTATTTAAAAAATGTTCGCTCTTTATATGAGATTTGTATCTATATTAGAATATATGATAAATATATGTATTTGTAATAAAAATGTAATGCAAATATTCCTAATTATAATATATTTAAAATATTTAAATCTCTCTCTCTCTCTCTCTTAGTAAATTTCTTTTTGAAATGATCGTATTTAAAACAAGCACGCATTGATAACATAATCGCTTATTTTACTCGCTTATCGACTTATTTTAATCAAGGAGATCAAGTTTTTGCGCTGGCTAATGAGGATAAAGTCAAAACAGAATAAATAATTTTTTGTTACGGTAGTCTTGTTAAGATAAGTCAGATAGTCTTGTTAAGATAAGTCAGTTATCTCTTTATATATTAGATGTAGCGATTATCTGTAATTTTTCCGCGGAGCCAGAGGATAAAAAGAAATATATATGCATATAATCTTATATTAAAATAAGAAAACATGCTATAATGTAATTAATTAAATTTGAAAGACTTGGAATCACTTTTCTCGCGAGTCATCTTCTCAAAGATAAGCGACAAAACTCAACAAGTCTCCTGTTATGTTAAGCGACGTGCCATTCCTCTCAAACAAGTGTGTTCAGATAGGTCAATGTTATTATTATTCCAGATGACGCAATTTCTGGCTGAGGAAGAAACATTGTATTAAGTGACAGTCATCTCAAAGAACATTCAGAGATTTGATTAGTTTTTATTTGACTAGTGTCACCGACGAGATATTATTAAAGACCGGTGGTCTTATGGGATTTAGTGTGACTGGAAAAAAAAATTCGCTGCGCGTTATTTTAGTTCATCCAGTTATTGTTTTATTATCAAAAATGTATAGATCTTTTATATAACTGCCTTAAGAACAACAAAATAAACATTTTATCGTAAATTTACTGTTTTATTATCGACAATGCAAAGATTTACTTATCTACAGTACCGCGTGGCGAGTTGTTTTCCAGTAATATGCTAAATCCTGTAAGACCATCGGTCTCTAATAATATTTCGTCGGAGTTCTCGATAATAAAATAATAACTGGATGAAGTAAAATAACCGTACGAATTAAATAATTCGTGTAATTATCTTCGATCCAATCAAACGGCCGGTAATGTCAACATTCTTCAATTACCTCCGGGTCCACCGGGCCCACTTTGATGGCCACAAAAGTTTACCCAGGCCTGACGGTCTTTAATAGTATCTCGTCGGTGCTAGTGTATACGCGTGCTGTGCCGCAGTTTGCTTTCAAAGTCCACAAAAGACGCGAGTTTCTCTTTGGTGAATAGATTTCTACGCTTGCTATCATCGCGATGACGGATACACGAAGCTGGCATGGTGATAACAGTGACGTGCAATGTCAGTACGAGCTGACTAGCAAAGACAAAGAATACGCGGCAGTGCATCTGAACGAGACCGACGAAAATAGAGAAAAAGCAATCGCAGAGATTAAACGTTGGATCGAAAACAGCGATGATTTATACGGACGAACAGGTAAAATGGCAAAATTCGATTCGCCTAGTATCTCGATATTGCGTTAAAATCACTTCTTGAAATTCAATTACGGTCTACTAATTTCAAAGTATTAAAACGATATTATCTTCAACTGCAGCATTAATGTGATGTCAAGTCGAATATTCAATTTGTTGTATCCGTTTTTACGATATATGCGGTTAATTTATCTTTCACGTCTGATAAATCATATATACGAAATGTCAAAGTAACCAATAGGGCGATGCGTGGCGCTGAGCGTAGAGTCGCGGGCTGGTAATCGAGAGATTCTCCAGGTTCGATTCCGCTCGGGTCCCCATCCTTCCTACATGCCTCAAAAGAGAATTTTCATATATTCCTATATTAGTCCCAATTCCTATATTTCTCTCCATCTATTTATGCCAGCTTTATTGAGATTATTCATTTCCTTCATCAACCAATCTTATCATAGTCTGTTAAGGAAATCATTTCTTTATTCGCTTTTTTACTTACGATTTGTAATCGGATGAACATTTTTACGGTGGAGGCCAGCTCCCCTACATATAAAATACGCATGATGGTGTTCTGTTCGTTAATTTTATCCTTCTATTCGTTAATTTTATCTTTCTGTTCGTTAATTTTATCCTTCAGTTTTTCGATTTCCTGAGATTGTTCTTTGATTTTTTGTAGCTGTTTATTTTTTTCGGAGAAGAACATACGTCTCAGCATCCTCATATTCTTCCACATCCTGGAACTAAAAAATGATTTTAGAGGGTGAAATATGAAATATTAAAAATAAAGCATAATATTTCTTCATTACAAATAGCACAAGTACATATATCAATATTCATTCCATTCATTACTAACTTTTATTTTTAATTTTTACAGAACGTGTTTGCTTTCGATAAAAAAGAAGCACTAGATAAAGTTTAGCGAAACTTCGTCAATAAAATTGTAAAGTGCGACAGCAATAAAAAATCGATAATGTCCCGATATTGAAAACTTTCTAACGAATACATTAAAAGAAGAGAATAGCAAAGTTAACCTGCGATAAATCTACGCGACCAGAAAACTTGAAGCTGGATGTCCATGTATCTTTTGAAAACTCTATAGCTATTAAAGCTTTAGTTATCGTTATTGAAGCTTCAGCTTCAATTTTTATAATAAAATAGAATATTAGAAAGAAAATTATGAACAATTTGCAGCACATAAATGGAATAACCTTTAATTTGCTTTTGTGTATATCCGTGTTTCTTCGTACTTTTAGAGCCTTCTTAGTATTGTTGTTAAAATCATCAATTTCAGGATTTACTCGTAATCTCAACGCTTTTGAAGTAAAACTACATGTTTCTAATGCATGCTTATTTTTTACTTTTGAACTTTCGCTTTTCTCATCCACATTTGTATGCATGCAAAAAAAATATACATTTGCATTCTTTTTTCAATCTGCATATATTACAATTTTTTAATAAATTTGAACCTAATACTTGATTACATGCAAAATTGTAATTACATTGCAACGGTAATATATAATGATCTTTAAAAATATAATGGTCAAGAGGAAAAAAAAGTTGATTTAATATTGCTTATGCCTTTATACTCTTTGTTCTGCTTTTGCGATATATGCGATTAATTTATCTTTCACGTCTGATAAATCATATATACGAAATGTCAAAGTAACCAATAGGGCGATGCGTGGCGCCGGGCGTAGAGTCGCGGGCTGGTAATCGAGAGATTCCAGGTTCGATTCCGCTCGGGTCCCATCCGTCGTCCCACATGCCTCAAAAGAGGAGATTTTCATATATTCCGAGAAATTAAGCTAAATATTCAATTTACATACTATCGATTAATTTTGCTATCGATACTATGAGAAATAAAGTTATAGTTCTTAAAGTTAAAATTAACAATGCCCTGCAGTACAATGCCAACTAAAATTGTACATGAAAAAAATTTTAATTCAGATGATTAAAATACTTGTAATATTAATTAAAAATTTTTAAGTATTATATAGAACTCTTATATAAAAACTTTTAATCAATCGCATAATCTATAATCTTTATGATTTTTCGACTGGCGAGTTTTCGATGGCATTATCGCATATCCCTTATTATTATATCATTCCAAATCTGTCCTTCATCACTACACACAGAAAAATATTATTCTATTGGTAAGTAAAATGATTACTCAGTTTACTTTACTTCTTTTAAGTAACAGTTATCTTTAACAAAGAATATTTTCTTAATAATAGTCTTAAAATAGACTTGTCACAAATTTTAGAAATACTCATTATCATGTACTCAAAAAAAGTAAATATTTTCTTTCGAAGAATATTATAAAATTTTATCGAAGAAAAGTCAGATATGGTTAATTTAATGTAAGAAAATTTATTAGATCAGAAAAATTTAATGTATTTCTTTCAATTATATAATTTAATATTCTTGATTGAAATATTAAATTTATTAGGATTCAGAATATATTTTGAATAAATTTGATGCTTATGATAAACTTATGATAGATTTGCGGATATATAAACTTATGAAATACTTGAAACAAGTAATATTTACTTGTATATAGTATATATTTTTCTGTGTG